CTTTTTGGACATCACTACATGTGAGGACAACTGTCATAGCTACAACAGGAGCGGATTTTCCTCAGTCTGTTGCCACAAAGTTGGAAACAAACTATTAGTAGTTTCTTTAACTGGAATGAATAAAGGGTCCTAACCATCGGCGTCATTAGACCTGCGTCTGAGTGCTTTATGAAGCCACTGATCTCAAAAAAAGACCCAACTTTAATAATAATAATAATTTTAAAAAGCCCTGGATCAAGTGAACTGTCATTCCTGTTGTGCATGAACGCCATGTATTGGAATTAGAATCAGAATCAATTTTATTACAAAGTCGGTTTTCACACACAAGGAATTTCATATGGTGTCTTGGTGCATAACATTCAACACTGACAATTAGAGACTTTTTAATGAAGGATAAAAAAAAATCAAACTTAAGCTAGAACAAGATAAATGTTATTAATCCCTCACCAGCGAAACCCACGTTACAAACTACAATCAAATGAAGCGGCGTAAGGAACAAGACAAGAAATACTAAAGGATAGAAATAAAGATATATTGAAGACTGTGAACGGATATGGCATGATGGATAAATGCACCCAAACTGTAGGACACACAGTCTGTAGAATTGTGCTCAAAAGACTAATAGTACCACATTGTGTGAAAAAAAACAGTGTTACATTATGGTATTGCACTTTACAAAGAATTACAAGTCAACGGACAACAAGTGTAGCAAATCCAAGGGATTTTAAGCAATAAACACATAAAACAATGTGCAAAATGACATAATATGTGGGGTAAACAACTTTGGATACACAAAGGATAATAATAATCATAATTAAAAGCTGCTTGTTAATCTAACACTTTAATATACAATAAATTATCTGGCTACCTTCAGGATGAATGAATGTATGGTGCACATCACATAACAGCAAAGTCCTTGGTTCAGTTAAAACAGATGGACTCCATTTTTGCAGTTTAATTCTTCATAGTACCAAAAAAATGTAACATTTTCCTATTTTTTTATGTATATAAAGCATTAAGAACTCACTGAACTACATCAACTTAAAAAAAAACAAAAAAAAATACAGGCTCCCAAAAATTTTTGGAGACACGTTTTTACAGAGCAGCAACATTTGTAATGGATTTCCGTATTAGGGAGCTTCTGCTGCTGATTCTGCACTTCACTCTGGAATCAGCATGACATCCATTACTGCAATCCCTTATATCCAGACAAAATATGTTTTCCTTTCCCAAAAAAATTTGTAGCACTGACAACTTGTCTTTTAAATGGAAGAAGACAGCGTGAAACTGCCATTTATCAGCAAAACAGACAACAATGTGTTTCTGTTCACACAGATGAGAGCAGCCGGTGATTGTCCAGCCCTTGCTGCTGCACCACATGGGGAGACGGGTTGCATTTGATCAAACAGCAAATGCCATACAAATGTCTGTGCAAACGTTAAGCTCCCGCTTGCTTTTTGGCATCGAGCGCTCACTGCGATTACTATCAGTGGTGAGTCCTGCAGCAGACACGTGTTAAACGCTGGCCTCTGCTCTCCGTCTGGAGGCTCCGGGACTGACTTTCGCTGACCTTGTTATCTTTATTTGTCGAGATCACATTGCAGCCGCCTCATCCCCACCTGGCCGGGGAGTGAAACTGCAGTTCACACACTGCAGGAGAAATATGAGCTGCTATCACGCACAGCAGTGACTTGGAAAAAGCCCAGAAAGCCTCTCTGCTGCTGGAGGTTTCTTTTCTCACTCACTGATGAAAACCCCACTCCATCTCTCTCTTTCTCCCTTTTGTCGCTCTCAGGGGTACTAGACATTTATGCTGGGGAGAATTATTATTTTTCCATCTCAAGGTCTCCACAAAAAAAAACAAAAGAAAAAAACCCCACCCCCCCCACCTGCCCCATCTATTCTCAGCTCTATTCCTTTCCACTCTTCTCTCTCTGTTTGTCATTTACTCCCCTCCACCTCTGCAGTCTCTTATCCTCCCCACTTTCTCTGCTTCGTCTTTCTTCCTCATTCCTTCTGCCTGTCTTCTGCTGGCGGTGCAGAATTAGTAGGTGAAGCTGAAAACGGATTAAGGAGCCAGAATCCAGGGAGCTCGCTAATGGGAGGCCTGGCTTGGCTGCCTGCTGCTTCTGGCCATCAGCTGAGGCCAATTATGTGAAAGGGCCACATCTGGACCGGTCTGGACCTCAGAGCGATGGCTGTCTGGTCACTTAGAGAGACCCGACCTCGCCTCCTCAGAGGGCAGACGCTGGCCTTGCAGTTACAGAAGCTTGTAGTGCTGAAATAATTAGCAGATTACTCAGTTAGTTGATCGATGTGGAAGCCTATTGCTGCCATGCTCGAAAAAGAAAAATGCATCAGTTGCTGTTACGACGTACAAACTTAGGATGATATTGCAAGATACTCTTCTTGTTATAAGAATGTGTTACTATGTTGTTTTGACAAGAAGTAGCATAAAAACTTAAATTGTAATAATGCAGAGAATGGATAAATTGAGGCTCATTAACATGATTTGAGTACTTCAAGTTCTACGTCATGTTTAGATGGAGACATGGTGAGAATTTGACGATAATGTGATAAATCGTGTATTTATGGAGCCTTTAGTGTCCTTTCGGCTGATCAATGAGAAATAATGCAACATTCAGAGCATCAGATTCATTCTTCCTTCATGCATTTTCATATCCTTCTTTGTGTATTTATCACAATATCAGAAGCAGAATCTCATCATATCTCAACTCAAGCATGAAGTAGAATTTAATCAAATTGCGTACATGAGCCATATTCTTCAATTTATCTCTTCTCTGCACACTGTTTATGCATTCATGTTATCAACTGAGGCATTTCATGTTACAACTAGAAAAACAGTGCATTGTTATAGCATGAAAAGTTTATTGATATTGCATAACACAATGCTGATCTTCCTTTTCTCGTGTGGCAACAACATGATGAACAGAAATGAATTAATCAGTTTTAGTTTTTGAGTGTATGTTTCAAGGCAAATTCTCAAATTTTCACTGCTTTCAGCTTCTCAGGTGTGATGATTGGACTGTACATTGAACATTTTGGGGTTAAAGGTAGTTTATTTGACATAACAAGGATTTTTTTTAGACTCTAAGAAACTGGGAGACCTAATTGTCAGTAAAGTTTCCTGAATACTGTTGGTAGCATATCACTTATTATTAATGTGTTCAAGTAATGTCATTGCTTTTTACAACACAAGTAATGGACTGCAATAGGAAATTCTGTAATTAAATGACAGTAATTTATGCCAGGAGCACTTCAACACTACTTCACCAGGAGTTTTACGAAGGATAGATATCAGTTTGGTCTCTGCAGAGTACAGAGAGTCATTATGATGTTGTGCAGAGGATGGAGTTGTGGGGATGCATGTACCAAACAGCCTCCCAGTAATTCCAAATGAATCCTGTGTAAAACTCCTTACAATGAATACAGATTTCAGTCACAGAAGACAATTTTTTATTCTTTCCAACCCAGTTATTATTTAACTGGGCTGGCAACCCCTGCGCTACACACACCTCTACATAACAGGAGCTGCTGCGTTCACTTGCGACAACACAGATGAGCTACACAGCAGAGTGTATACAGACGCAATGTGGTTTGTGTCAGTAACATTAAAAACACTTGAATTCACCGGTATTGTTTCCAGCCTTGCAGTTTGAGGGGTGGCTGCATGGGTCGCTGTTGTTCGATTTAACGCGCAACAGATGCAAAGATGGTCTAATTTTGGTTCAGAACTTGACTGTGGTGATGAATGAACGGATGGAGAGTGGTTTAAATGCTCACAAATCATCTTTGCAATATGATATACGTCTTACTTTGAGCATGTGCTTCAACCTCAGCGGCATATGTGTGTGTGGGCCCGGATGGCCTTCACTGTGAAGAGGGAACACAATGGTAAAATTTGACAAATTATATAATCTAATGCAAACTTAAAGGCCATGAGATTCAAGTTACCGTGTTAGTAGAGGCCTAAAAGGAACAACCTGTGATCCAGCAGTGTCTGTGAAAAATAAAAACAAAATAAAGAAAATCTGTAGATATATGTGAAAATCTGGCAGCCATGGATGGTATAATACTGTAACTAAAAAAAAAAAAAGGTATTAAATATGATTAAATGCAAAAAAAAAAACGGTCACTACATTACTATTTGTATAAACATAGATTTTTGGCATGGAAATTATGCACACTTTTGGCCTGTTTTGTCAACTTGTGCTTCAGAGTTGCTGTTGAGTGGATTGTGTCACCTCTGGACAGTGCAATGCTAACCGTTTACACCTGTTTCCAACCCCTGATGATAAGCTGCAAGTTCATATTTACATGCAAATATGAGAGTAAATCTTGGAATGGAAGTGAATATACAGATTTTCCGAAATTGTCTAATACAAATGGAAATGACTTCAAATATATACGTTTGGGGACTTTTTACACGTCTTGGGAGAAAGAAGAGCATCATTAACTTTCCCTCTCAAGGCTCAAAGTGCAAACTAAAGGCTATTTGTGACTCAGTCCTACTGATTTGCCGTCTACTGTCCTACATTTTTTTCTTGCTGCAGATCTCCTCCAGTCAGGAAAACACAGCAGCTCGATCCGACTCATCCCTTACCAAATCGTAAATCAAATAAATCCCCTTCCTACTGACTTTGACCCCCTTCCTCATTTTGCTCCACTCTCCAGAGCCAAAACAGGAACATGTGGTCTGGTGGAGGACTGACGAGGGGGAGGGAGTATCCTCTGGATCATTGGCAAGTACCGGACAGAGCGCTGCAGAGCAATTACACTCGATTTTAATTCCACGTGTGAAAATAAACGCTGCCGAAAACAAGAAAAACCCACAGCGTCGCACATGATGAAGTGAGGTCTGCCTATCCAATCTGTCGATGTGTCAGTTGAGGAATTTAAACCACTGAGAAGGGTTTTCCTAAAAAGTCCAGACAGAACAGAGAGACGTACACTACTGTAAATCAATTATAGGGACAACAAGGTTTCACAAAAGCTTTATTCTTCACAGAAAGTTTGTAGAAAATATGCTGTAAACAAAATAATTTGTATTTTCACAGATTTTATTTCAAAAATGCAGGCATGTGGGAGACAAAATGCATTTGTTGCATGAGGAATAACTATTTGCAGAAGAACAGGGCTGGAAGTAGAAAAGCTGTGAGGGAGCAGAATTCAACTTTTAAACTAAAGACAAAAACATTACATGGAAAGTGCAACTTTGTCAATAAACTTTGCCATTTTGATGTCCCGCTTTGACAGCCCTCCACAGTCATGTGTAGTCAGTGTAATCTGAACCTGGGAAGACACAAACACATTACTGGATATATTGTTGTCAACCTACAGTAGGTCACATTATTTTTAGATTTTCATTACAAGATTGTATTATATGTCCTTTTTACGTAGAAGCAGTGATGTCATTGTGATAAACGTTTTTACTTGTGTTTTGTTTTGTCAAGTCATGTAACTGGTGTTACATGACTACTTAATGATTCATATTAAATGCAGCACCAGTTTCCATTGCACCCTACACCCTGATGAAGACTCTCTGAGCTAAGACGAGCTTAATTAAACTAATGAAAGTCTCACATGTCCCCCAGAATACGTCTTCAAGTTCAGCTCATTGCAATGATAATTGATTTTATAATGACCCCTGGTTGTAACCCTGCTCTAAACAGACTGTTTCAGTGCTTTAAATACAGCTGAGCTTCTGCTGTCCATGTCCCCTTCAGGAAGAAGACTCTCTCTGCATCTGTATTTGACAGCACAACGGTTGACCCCCCTACCGACCGACCCAGATGTTATTGAGCGTGTCAGACCAGGACTTTCTATTGATTTTTATTTTCTCTGTGGTCACTTGACGTGAAAATTATTGTCGTTGTTGTTGTTGTTGTTGTTGTAGTGTTGTTTTTTTTGGTTATTTTTTTTTAACTCTTGTATTTGGTGAGACTGTAAGACAACGTTGTGGTTTTAAACCAGTAGTTTAGTTGTGCAGAGCAGCGGCTTAGAAATGGTTCTGAAGCAACTGCTGGTTAACATGTAGTCTTAATGGGCTGCATTTCAATCACTATTTTATACTTGTTCTTTTGTCTGACAACAGAAACAGAAAAACACATATGAGAGCATCTTTTCTGGGAATTTGTCCGTAAAGTTAATGGCAACGTTAACCATATTAGTCACACAAGTAAGGATTTTCTGAGGATTCTTGGAGGGACATTGTCTTAAAATATAAAAATAATCAACTTGGTCTTGATGCTGTGAGTGCATGAAGACTCGTGTGTTCACTCTAGCAGCAAACAGCAGAACATTTAGTGTGTTTTGCTCGATGCTGAGACATTTCACATCCAGCAGGAGCAGCTCTAGACAGTAAATACACCTGATGGACTGTCAGGCAGCTGCTCTTTCTGAACAGCTCATCTGGACGCAGCGAAGGGGCAGAATTATGTAAAGTTTGAGCTCGACGACTATTGGTTCCTCAGCTGGAACATAACAGCTCAGTAATGTTCTTCCTATCTTGTAAAGCTGGGAGGAACGGCAGAATTAAGCGTTTTCATATCTTAACAGCTTTAACTTTACACCTCCAAGTTTATATAATTCACAAAACACAATGAAAATAGATTTTAACCATATGGGACCTTTATAGTGATGGCATCCAGACATGGATCACCTTTACGATAATGTTTCTTGCAGCTTCATTCAAACCTTCCCATGTTAGTGATGGAGAGATCTACAGTAGACAATATTTGTCATATGTGCCACCATTAGGGCATCATAATCTTGAGCATTCTCCCATGGAGCAGATGTTGATTTTCAGTATGAATGCAGACAATAAATGCAGGGCCTCACAATCCTTCTGACTTTTTAGGTTTTAAGCAGGAAGTGTCAGAAAAGTTAAAACAGGGATAACTGGCTTGTGGCGGCCAAACGCTCAGAGCGACGTTGCCTGTTGGTCTTCCTATCATTGTGAAGCAGAATTTACCAAGCGTTGACTGCACATGCAGTTTAGATTTGTGCTGTGTTGGAAGTGTTACTTGGTCCGACCTGGTAAAACTGCTGCTGTCACTTATACAAAAAAGTAAGCAGGGCGCTCACTTAGACATGAAAAACTTGGACATGAAGCCGACATGTTTGTATTAATTAAAAGGAGTGCAGATCTGAAAGGAGATAATTCACAAATTGATAAAGTATTTCTTTAAGTCTTTCATATAAAGTTACAGATATTGATTACCCTTCTACTCATCAGAAACTGAGTTAAACTCATTTGATGTCTACTTCGTCTTCAGCAGGCTGCTTTCAAAGGAATTTGTAATTAAGAGGAGGTTGGCTCCGCCCACAAATTAAATTGAGGTTACTCCCTGCAGAGCAATTGGGGTCCAGAAAAAAAAAAAGGTTCGTAAACTCGCATCTTAACACTGACAGCCAAGAAAACAGCACAGAACATGATTGAATTTTCGAGAATATTAGCAGCAGCTCAACATACAGCATCTATTTTGTCAAGGCTGAACCTCAGTCGGTGTGGGATTTATGTGTAAGTGTCTGGTGGAAAGTGCTGTGGGGGCCCAGAGACCTGTAGCACCGTTCTACAGCCACTTTAATAAAGAGTGGATTAGGAGCAGCATTCCTCTCAGAGCGGCCCGGTCCACCACACAGTAACTCAGTGGCTACAGCCTAATGCTGGGAGATTTTCGGGGACTCGGTTTGTCATATCAACCACTACTTTATTCTTGAGGCGGAGAAAGTGAGGGAGTGTGTGAGCACCGAGGTTGTGGGGGGGGAGGGAGGCAGAGATATTTGCAGAGCTTTTCGCAAGAAAAACGATGGGATTACAGTGTGAAGCTGTTGCGTTTTTGTTTTTTTTTGTCGCTCTGACTAACAGAGTGTGTTTCGGGCTTTGAGTGGAGAGCTCTCCAGAACCAGCAATGATTGTTTGACATGAAAAATCTGACTTTATCCAGGGTCGATTGATCTCAGCGTGTCTGTAATTTGTTATAAACCAGCCGCAGCGTTGTAAATATGGCAGTAGCTCAGAAAAGTAGCCAAGATGACACTGTTTGATTCCACAGGCTGTGATTTCTGTAACGGATACTACACAAATACAGCACTGTGAACAACTCCGCAATCACTATTACAAGGTTAGATTTGAGCTATCATGTGGAGAAAGCGGTTACCTTATTATAAACATTGAACCATTCGGGGTGATGGTTCATCTTCTCAGCCTGCAGAGCCACCCGGGACATGAAGCCAAATGCCTGTTGGGAAAGAAACAATCACTGATTAAATACACTTCAGGAAGTGATGTCTCTTCAAAAAACAGATCATAACAATGCTTCTTTATGTCATTGTTTTTTTTATATAATTTAGTCCACTCCAGCTTCACTCTGTGCCTCCAGGAAGCACAAAATATTAGAAACATCTCCAAGTTTAACTGCCTTCAAAAGGATCATTTGGTTTAATTTTAACAAAGACTGAACATTATAATCCCCTCGCTGGTTAAATTTAATGCAGGACTATCTTAGACTGCATTAGTTTAAGCTAACAAGGGCTAATAAACTCTCTCTGCATTATATTTAGCCAAGATTTTTCTTTTTTTTCCCCTTAAAACTAACTTTGCATCAGTGCTTGTCAACATAAACACTTCATCCAACAACACACTGATTTGCAGCAAGAAACTTGACACTAAAGCATTATTTTCAAGCAATGACTCTATATATCTGTCTTTATAGTATTTATAAGAAGTATACACACACTGAATAAATGGGCTATATTGTTGAATGGGTCACATTTTTATTCAATGTGGACTATTTTTTCACAAGTTAGACAGCACAACCATGCAACAAAGTTAAGTCATTACTGAACAAAAAAATCAAAGTTCATTTATTCGATTACTTATTTTACAAAAACTCAAAAAACCTGGAGTCAACAAGTACACAGGTGTTACCAATCTGGAGAAAATGGCAGCTCTACATACTATACATATTTTACAACTTACATTTTTTTCAACCTCTACAAACCATACATTTTTCAACTCTCCAAACATATTTCACCATGCTGAATGTATCTTTCAACAACTCGCTGACAACTTGCTCCTCTGTATACCGTATTTCAGCCATCATGCATTCCTGTTGGTGCTCAAGTATGTTTTATCTTGCTCTCAGTCTCTCTAACTTGTTTCAGTACCTATTTGCGATGTGTAAGCACAGCCTGCAGTTCAGCCGAAAAGTCACTGAATTTCTGTCCTGTGACTGGTGAACAGCGTTGAGTCACTAGCTCATGGATTTTTTGCTTTTTACAGAATCTGGTAACTGCAAATGATTAATTTTTGTGATTAATGGTGGGATTTTTGCCATTTTTTGTTAAGATAACATGCCTTTCAAATCCACTTACAGGTTATGATGATCAGAGGATTAACCACAGTACAGTATTGGTCAGCGAATATAATTTCTTTAATGTTTTTTCATTGTTATAACTCTACTATATTATTATTTATTGTGCAGCTTCCACTACATGGCAATGATTAATAGATTAGCTGTCAGCTACTATATTATTCACAGACTATTCTAATAATCATGTTATTTAGTGTTATTGGATAGAAAAAAGTCTAAATTCTTTATATACAGCTTTTCAAATCAGTGTAGGCGACAGCATTATAGTGTGTTATTAACTGTTTATATGCTGCATATAAAGGCTAAATGCTTCCTCAATTAAAGTGCTAGTATGACAGTGTTGACCTTAAGAACAGACACTTTCAAAAGATGTAGTTCATTGCTAGTGCTTCCAGTCTCAGCCGTATGGTAAAAGCTGCTATTCTGCATGTATATCATTTAAAGCAGCGTTATTCTACTAAATATCATAGCTGTAGTTAGAATTTATTAGCACGAATAAAATAAAAAAAAATGTAAAAGCCAGCAGCACCCAGGTTACTGATTGTAAAAATGCAAATAATAAATAAAAAACATGTCAACAGTGGACACGTAAAACTTTTTTGAACAAATTTTTTTTTTTTTTTTAAGTCCTACTAAAAGAAATGTTGCAAAACTTGAATGCTCTAACACAACAAATGCAGCACTGATTCAACTTTGGTCAAAAAACAAATGACAGTCAGTTTAGAACCACAGTAGATGGAGGAAACCTGAAAATATTCTTCTCTGAGAAGCCAAAACAATCACTTTTGGTGATTTTCTAATGACGGACTAATTAATTGACTAATTGTTGCAGCTTTACAGAACAATTCTCAGAGGGAGCTGTTTTAAACTGTCTGTTCCCAGCTGTGCACAAAGAAAAAAAGAGTAACACATTTATGCAGCAAAAGGAGCAATGCTGCCATCTGAGGCACAGAGAAGCACAAGACGACGCCTCCGCATGTACAAAAACCCTCTTGAATGCATGTGTGCAGACTTCCACACCCACATAAGGACATGAGAGCATGCATGCACACACTTACATACACACTCTTCATATTTGGCATGTGGCTCTCTCCAATCACAGACCATCCAGGGAGTGATTACGGTTATTCTAATTATCTACAAAGAGCAGAGTGAAATCCCTCGTCATGCTCGCTGTGAAGAGAAGGGAGGGAGGGGGGGGAAATCAGGTAGACCTATTTCAGAGCAATTTCCCACTGCAATCTCAATTAAGCTCCTAAATGCTTCCTCTCTGCCTAATTAAATCAACTGAAATGCCATTGTTTACAGGCCACGGCTGCGGCCCCGTCCACCACCTGACATGACGAAACAGAATTACTCTCACAGAGGAAATTGCATTTAGTCTTTCTGGTGTGTTGCAGCCAATTTCTGAGACGGCCTGTTCGGTCTCCGTGCAGCGCGTTGCGTGTAACACGATCGGCAGCTTGATCAAATTGGTTATCAAGAAAACCGTCTCCTGATCAATTTAAGTAATTGGCATATTCCTGCAACTTGACCCCGCTGGCACCAATTTGGAGAGCGAGGCGGTCTGCTTTTTCTCAGTTTTCATTGGATCTAATGGGGATGGTTAAGCAGCCTGTCATGTCAGGTGTTGTCCAAACATGTCTCCTCTCTCTCAGGGCCGAGCTCAGGCTTAATCTGCTGCCGAGGAACACTGAGTGACAGGTAAAAGGATTCGGTGTGAACAATAAATGTTTCCTGCACGTTGTTCCGCCAAGCTTTTTCAAAAACTCAATTTCTGTTAAGGAGCAGAAATTCATCCCTTGGCATTTCAAGACAGTCTGACTGGTCAAAAATTCTGCTGTAAATGTGCAGAAAAGTATTTTTTATACTGTCAGTTAAATCAAAGTGACCATCAGGGGCACCAGAGACTCACTGCTATTACTCTCTGATTCAAATAGTGAGGTTACTTGTTTCTAATGTGACTTGAGTGTTCTGGCATCAATAACAAGCTCACATAATTGTAATGAATTGCAGAGATAAACTCTATGACTGTCTTGATCCGATATTTTAAGCCAATTTTGGCTTTTCATCAATATATCCATATGGGATAGGATTAATTTGAAAAATTAGAAACAGTGCAACAAAGTTATCCGTACTGAAGCTATTTTGCTTTGCGTTTGTTGAAAATGTATATCAGCTGTTGCAGCCCGGCCTATCAAACATTACATCCCTTTACAATCAAACTGCATTCTCAGTTATGTAAGGAAACATATTTTCTGCTGGATTACAATTGTTTGTAACGTGTCAAAAACAGATTTTAAATCGACATATCTTTTATCTACTGTCGCTCCTTTCCTTTTCCTTCTCGACAATAAATCCTATATAAGATGGGGAAAGACTTGTCATCCTGCTAACTCAGAAAATGTCAGAAACGTTTCGAGTTTGTTGTGAAAGGGTTGTATTTTAGCCTAAATCTAACCACGTAGCTTGGTGCGTAAACATAACCAGAAAGCCACCACCCGAAAAAACAGAAGATGGGAGACTGGGTTCCTATTATCAGATAAGCAGGCCACAAGAATCCAACCATCGTGAATGGAGTTGCTTGTAGCGATGAAGCTACAGAAAGTGATCACCTGAATCAGCCACTTCCTTCAGCTTCACAGAGCTCTACAGTGAGTTTTAGCTCACCACTTTTGAACAATTTCTCTCAGCTGCAGCTAGCAGCTTTTTCAGGGACAAGTTGGTGAATGTTGTGAAGCATTCAGCAGCTAAAGAGCCAGATTTTCCCCTCAGAAGCTGGTAGGGACCAAAACCAGAGCTAAAAGAGAGACAATAGCGCACTGACATTTGGTGGATGGGCACAAAGGCAGCTCCATATAAATGATGAACACGTTCCACAGCGGCTAGATGTGTGAATAAGTAACTGCTAACCAGTTTGCCATATCAGCCTAAAAGGTGATGATAGGTAAGTTTTGTCAAGTTTGTTCCTGCTGCCCTCAATTGACCAAAAGCCCTGGTACTAATCTCGATTAAAATATGAGGATATTAATTAGCAGTTCAAATATAAATGCTAATTATACCCGGGCTAAATTACCGTAAGAAAAAGTGTCGCATTTTACTGGGATGGTTTCATATATGAGATTCTTATGTGTGAATCATAAATGCATTTCCTGCTTTAACCCTTTGAAACGCCCAAAAACTGCTCAGAGGGCAGTTTCTGGGAGTGTCTTTCTCCTGTCACATTTTTACTCACTGCAGACTCGTTTTTCATAAATGCAATATGAAGTCCTGCACCTCTGTGGAAACAGCACAATCATGGCTAGAATTGGAGAGAACTCAGATGTGTCTTTTGTGTAGTATGACAGTTGCGATGCCATTAATCATATATATATATATATATATATATATATATATGAGAGAGAAACATCTAAAGCTAAAATTCTTTGATTACTTTTTTCCCCAAAACGGAAAAAAAAGCTGGAATACAACATTTTTCCAAGTGCCAACACATGATAATAATACTGTTGGGGAAAATGGTGGCCTTACATATTGCAGATTTTTTACTACTATTCTTCATTTGTCTATCTGCTCTGTACAAACACAGCCTGCAGTTCAGTTGAGTTGAGCCAAAAAGTCCCTACATTTTCTCACATGGTTGATGGTTGCAGCCAAGTCACTTATGGCTTCAGAATTGCCTTTTTTTTAAATGGCATATGTACAATAAAGTCATTTTAAAGAAATATCCTCATTTTAAGCTCAGATTTCCATTGGAAAATTTCACCATATGAGTAGTTCAGAGACCAACAGAAAGTTGAAAGTCCAATGATTCTTTCGGTTTTCACAGTTTCTGGCTCTGATAAATGCTGCAATTTTGGTGATTTTTT